ATTGTGTGACGTGATAGTATGTCCCAAAGCTTGCCTACTCTTCTACTACACACTCAAAGTTGTAGTATAAGTAGACACACTGGCCCTGCGGTCCATTCGGAAGGGCTCAAACTGTTTCTTGAAGTGCCCTTCTGCGTCATCATCACGTGCCCACACGGAGGCGCCGTCATCATACAAACAATCTGCGCAAAGGATCATGGGAGGCCGAAGTGTCCATCAGTTGTTCATTCCGAAGGGCCCTTTGAAGTGGCCAGTTTTGAGCACTTCGGTTTGGAACGACCCTTCAATATGGCGGCCATGATTGTTTTGGCGATATATCCCGTTTGGAACGCACCGGCATTAAAAAAAAACGGCCTCTGGTCTCCTTTCCCACGTACTGCCAGACCGGAAGCGTTAGCTTTAGCTGTTACGCTTTTTCAGCTAATGGTTGCAGGCTTGCCTTCTAGTGGCTTTGATCTAGCCTTAACCCAGCGCCAGTCTGATGCCGGAAGTGGGTGGAGTAGCAGTATCAGTTCGGAAGTGGGCAGAGTTCATGTAAACTAATAATGGCGGAAGACACGTAAGAAGTTAATCATGGCATACGAAGAGAGCTCAGTCAAAAGTTAATGAAAACGGAAAAAACTACCATGCCTCAGAGGTTTTGTGGAAGAGCTGTGGTATCTGAAATTAAACAAGGAAGACCAGGAAAAGGCCCTTCTTCAACTTGATCAGGCGGAAATGAATGATGAGAGACAACTGGCCAAAGAGCCTTTCATGTTTCGTTTCCAATTCAAGGAAGATATAGAATTTTTTCTTTACAAGTGTCAGGACAAAAGGCACCTCGATATTAACTCCATGTTTATGGAGTTTTGATTTATTTTAGTTTTAATGTTATTTTTGAGAATTATTGTTAAATGTCTGCCTGCATAACTTGTATTCAATTTATTTTCTGTGGATCGATTTTGTTTTATTTATTTTCTTTAGTTTGATTTTTTATTTTTAATTAGTTGTATTTATTTGGAGCAGGTACATCTAGTGTGTGATGCTTTTGCTATTTAAGAGGAAAAAACACATTTTATTTAAATTAATAATTTTGGGGGGTTTTTCACTCCACTATAGAATTGGTTTTCTATGTTCTATGAAAAAAGTGGTTAGTTGTGAAATGTTGGAGTACTAAAAATGCTCTTTCAATTAAATCAAATGTTTTAAATTTTTTAAAAAGATTTGTGTTCAATTTATATTGTTAATAATTTGACAACAAAACAAGTGAATAATAAACTATAATTTTAACAAAAAAAACCTATTAACAATTGTCTATAGTAGTATAATGTCTTTTGTTAGTAGGACAGCATAATTCTTATCTTTTATATTATTTCATACAAATACACACACACACACACACACACACACACACTTATATTTATATATATATTTTCTCCTATTTTCTGTATTGTGTGAATGTTGGACAGACTTGTTACGGAAAACTCAGGAAAACATTGGACAACAGCCTTTGACTGATTTAATCTGTCTCAAAATTGCTGGTCTGACTCTGAGCAAGGGCATAATGGATAAAATGGCCACAGTGAATAATGGCAAATGATTGGCCCCTGTGAGTCAGATGTCGGACGGTTGGAAACAAATTTTCTGTCTCATCAAACTGTCCATTTTAAATCAAATAGCAAATTTGACAAGCTCCACTGAATTTTGTTACGAGGAAAAGTAAATCTGTAAAGGAAAAATGGTTCCTGAGAATTATATACAAATCCTTATTTTGTGCTTATATATAGGAATGCCTAGTAAGGCAACACTTGCTCCGCCCACTTCCGCTGTTGTCCTCACACTGCTATGACGTATGGTTCTGCGGTTATAATATTGTGAATTGACAGGGTGGCGACGTGGAGTAATTGTTCTCCAAACTATCAGAAAGTAGCGATGAGAGGAAGTAGTTTGCCGAGACGTTTGCTAAACAATCGTTTTGTGAGAAGTTTATGAATAAATGGATTTCTTCACATATACTGTAAACTGATAAGGTTGTGGGTCATTTTGGAGGACACGTGTAAATATTTTTGAGTAGGCTACACACTACTTAAACCCACAAGAATCAAAGATTGGAGTTATTGGATATTAAAAACATACTTTCAATTTAATTTAAGTTACCTGTATTTTTTTTGAGTTATTACTTAATCAAAACAACCCAACTGCAGTTTGATTGATATTACTTGGAATGCACAAAATTTTATTTGAAAAAATAAAAAATAAAACATGATTTATGAAAATTTATAAAAACAGAGTTATCTGTTTTTGCAAATGAACTCTTCATATGTATAACACAATTTTTTATTACAATACTGATACAAACACTGATGAATGGTACACCACAAAAAAATCTTCAGCTTTTGGTTTTATTGTTCATCAAAAAAAGACAACTTTGAGCAAATAGTGTTAAATGCTATTTAAATAA